GGAGCGATCGGGGACAGAGTTCCGCGGCCGTAAAGTGTTGGCTTGGCCAGCAACAAACACCCCACCGCTTCTGGCCCCAAGGGGAATGTGCTCGAAGAATATCATAGAATTATAATCATTATATAATCATAGAATTATAGAATCAACCGGGTTGGAAGAGATCTCAAAGACCATCGAGTCCAACCCTACTGTGGTTACTAGACCACGGCACTAAGTGCCACATCCAGTCTCGTTTTGAAAACCTCCAGGGATGGTTAATCTACCACCTCCCCGGGCAGCACATTCCAATGCCTGAGCACTCTCTCTGTAAAAAATCTCTTCCTAATATCCAACCTAAACCTCCCCTGGCAGAGCTTGAGTCTGTGCCCTCTTGTCCTCCTGCCTGCAAGAAGAGACCAACCCCCACCTGACTCCAACCTCCTGTCAGGTGGTTGTAGAGGGTGATAAGGTCTCCCCTGAGCCTCCTCTTCATTTCAGTTGTTCGTGATCTGTCCTTAATATTCATAATTATGGATACCTGACATGGGAATGGACAAATAGCTTAAGGGGCTACTCGTACCCACTGATCTTTGCAAGCATCTACAAAGCGTTACAGCTGCTGGCTAAGGATGATGTTCAGCTGCTGGTGAGTATCATCAAAAAACACACCTGCCACTAAAATTCAATTTAAAACCATTGTATTTAAATACAGTGTATTTTTATTACTGTCTAGGTAAAATGCAGAGCCTTGAATTTGTCAGTTAGAGATGCATGACCACACAGACCTCACTGATGCGCTTCCCGTGGGGGTGGAACTCATGCATAGATCTCTAGTCACAGCACTGATGCCTGTGACTGCAGAGGATTATTCCTGGCCTCCATCAGTCTCCTGGAGTTTCACATTTGCCACTACATCATAATTGCTTAGTAGTTCAGTTTTCCAAAGTGTTCCAACAATATTTGTACTAAACTCACTAACAACTAACTAACAACATCCCCTTTCAATTTCTGTTGGAGATGAATGGCAAAGACTTCTAGTTTCCATCTCTGAACACTTTCAGTTGAACTTCAGATGTTCTCTGTTTCGGCAGAAATACTAGTCTTACCCAAGGACCTGACTATTATTTTGTAAAACCATAAAAAGCTATAGAGAATATTCACTAATTCACTATTTTCATACCTAAACAGTCATGCATGAATTCAGTAGTTCTGTCTTAGAACTTGGAATTTAACTTGGCTTGTTTCAAGTTCAGTTTTCTCTCTGCTTACACAGATCTGGGTCCCTAGGCTTGCACAGGCAGTGTTGGCTGGGTTTGCTGACGTGAAGCTTTACTCACTAGTGCAACACCTTGAAAATGCAGAAACAGCAAAGTGCGTGGTGAGTTGCAGCCATAAAAAGTTATGCATGTTAAATAAACACTGGTTCTGCAGTGTGAGCAACAGCAAAATGTCGTACCTTGGAAGAATTGCGACTTCCATTTAGGTGAATGTGTTCTAATGTGTTGTTCATGCTTGTTTTCAGCTCTTCTGCCAGCTGTGTTCCTGGTTTACATGGTATTCCTGTACCAGAACTCTAACAAACACCATGGAAACTATTCTTACCATTTTTGCTCTTTCCTACTATCCCATAAAAGGCTCCAAGATGGGAAACAGGTGAGAAACTTTCTCCTAACAGTACTGATTATTTTTGGCTTGGGATGACACCAATCTACTGATACTGTTTAAAATGCTTTTATCTTAAAATCTTAGGCAACCAAAGCCACTTCATTCATGGAGCTCTAGCTCATAGAAGGAACATTGTGGTATTTCCTGTAAACAGTTTTTTGAGGTCATGTTGCAGCTGGTGTGTAAAATTACTACTCCCGTTTCCTTATGCAGTGACGTTATGGGAAACTTTATTTTAAACTTTAAAGGACTGGCATATGTCCCTTAGCTTGGGAAAGGATCGCAAAAGCTTTTTTTGGTTCAGATACAGGTGACTTTGTGGTCACGACTTCATTAACAGCTATCTTTCTAAAGCACCTATGTGCTTCTAGTTAGCAACTCCATTGCTACTAGAGCAATTCTATAGCTGCAGCCTTCCAAGCAAAACAGAGTATCTGTACTGAGAGAATCAAAGTTACCTGCAGTATGAAAAACCTTTTGGCCAGAGACATGACAAGATTTCAGTTGCTGAAATGTCACAAGCCCTTTTGATAAGCTTCTGAGTTTATGTTCTTTCTTTCTAGTTGCAAATATCTAGCTTTGGTAGCCCTTGCAATTGTTGTTCGTCCCACTGCTGTTATCCCATGGATGCCTTTGCTCTTCAGTCATTTTCTGCAAGAACAGAGGAAAGCAGACCTAATCCTACACAAGTGCATTCCAGTTGGGTAAGTTCTTTCTGCATTTAAACTGTGACTGTATCACGACATTGTAAGAGTGGTTTTACCACTGAAAGGCAGACAACCCAAAACTGATTTTGTGTAAAAAAACGAAGGGAACAAATAGAGTCCTTTTGCAGTAGTTTAAGGAAGGGGGATGCATCCTATAAATTGCTGTATATGCTGCAAAAAACCACTACAAGAGATTTCATGAGGGTGAGAGATGAACTGCATTCTGGCTTAATCTGGGATTGTGCTGAGGGTACCAGATGATGGCAAGTGGCCACTGTAAAATGGCCATGGAAGATGGATGATCTCACAAATACTAGGAATCAGGGCATTCTGACAGCCCTGGAGAAGATACAAAAGCAATTCAGGCAATATCAGTGCAACAAACTTTCCATTTTTGCAGATTGGTCACAGTAGGAACCTCTTTAATAATTGACCGTGTGTTTTTTGGTGAGGTAAGCTGTTTTCAACTTGACATATAAGAAGAAGGTTGGGGTTTAATATTCTGGATGTCTCTTGTTTCTGTGCCAGTGTCTGGCCTATGATCTCTAAAGATATCCCAAGCCACAAACCCTTAAACACTGACTTTTCAGTTCTTTCAAATCATGGACTGTTACATAAAATCATTATGTCAGCTCTCAACAGTTACCAACAAACTACAGACTGACACAATTCTGTGTTTAATTGTTGAGCATAGGAAGTCTGTGATGGGTCTTGGTAGAAGAGGAACCCTGAAGTATGAATGAAAACATTGTATCATTTAAGGCCATTGAAATTGAATGTACCTGTTGGTTTTCACTTTGGATTTGTATTTAACTTCTCCCCAATCTCACAGTGGGTACTGGTTCAACTGAACTTCTTGAAATTCAACGTGCTGCAGAATTTGGGAACATTTTATGGATCTCATCCTTGGCACTGGTACTTCACTCAGGGACTACCAGTCATCTTGGGTACCCACCTGCCTTTCTTTATTCATGGCTGTGTGCTGGCACCAAAAAGATATCACATCTTTCTCCTGGCAGTGATTTGGACAGTGGTGGTGTACAGGTAACTTCTCCTAAGTGTAACTACTACCTCTGACTGGTTGTGTTCTTTTCAAAACTCATATCCTCTCTAGAACAAATAAGCACAGTATTCAGGTTAAGTGATAGAAGACTTCAAACTATTCAAACACTCCAAGAAATGCAGTCAGTTATAAAACAGTCACTAGAATTTGATGCAATACTATTTCTTGTATTGTTACCTCTTTTTTTAGAATTGATTAGACCCTTAAAGAATAAAGTAATTTAGCATGAAATGCTAGGGCTGTTCTTCCAGTCCTGTGCTCTGAAACACATTGTGTCAACAGAACTGATGAATTTAACTTTCTTGCTGTGGTATTTTGTGTTTTATTACAGCACACTAAGCCATAAGGAATTCAGATTCATCTATCCAGTACTGCCATTCTGCATGTTTTTTTGTGGTAAGCATTGGTTTCAAATGGCTTGCAACCTTCCCTGTATGTAATTTTTACCCAAAGAGGGACTGTTAATAGTCAGTGCAGGTGTTTGACAAAGGATTCTTAGAACTAGCTTAACCTTTTCTTACAGGTAGGGGAAAAGAAGAAAAAAAAAATAAGCAAAAAGCTGAGGAATAGCAAGTGACCATAACACAGGTAGAGAATCTAGCATGGATAAAAGTACTTCCTGCAAAAATGACAATTGTGTCAGCGACTCCTAACTGTTCAGCAGTGCCACCCTTACAGTGATTCTAGTTCCTTGGCTCCTCTGTACTATTTTTCTACACTGTTCTTTCAAATATACCTGACAAATGCCTTTAAGTATGCAACAAAAAAATTGAAATACTAAAAAACTACAATTAACCTTTTCTAGGTTCAGATGCTACAAAGGAAAGATGAAAACTTCTGGAACAGGAAGCTGTATAGCTTCAGTTTAAATACAAGTTCAAAACAGATGCACGCTGTGATTTTCTTTAACCTGTTCTGCTAGTCTCAACAAAAGTTAATCTTAAAAATTCTGCTCTCTGCTGAAATCAAATATGTAAGAAGTCTTGGCTTAGTTCAGTAGCAGCAAGATGAACCAGTTCTACCTCATGTGCACAAAGATTCCAATCAAACCCCTATTTTGTAATACTCCTCTTAACTTTCATGTCTATAAAAGAATGAGGTCATTATACAATTTATCAAGAACTCATTATCATCTGTTGGATACTTGAGTAAAGAGAAAAAACTACAGAAGTTACTTCTGATACAAAGAGGTCTTAGTTGGTCAAAACATTATAAACTAAAACAGAAAAACCCCACATGAATTTCAAAGTAATGTCCAAGCGCACAAACATAGGCTAAGACTGTTTCACAAAAACAGTGAAAAAGAAAAATGCCTATAATGGAATGTTTCCACTTCTGTTTAAACCACAGACTAATTTGTGCATTTTGTTTCCCTTTAAGATAAAGATCTGCAATTTGTCAGAACAGATCTACTGAAGACTAATCTAACTTGCTTGCTACTGAACAGTCCTGGTGTAGCTTGTCTCTTGTGATTCAGTACAGGTGCTCACAAAGCCAGGCCATGTAAAATGTTTTTATCTCCTGATACTGACAAACACATGACTTAGTAAGGGTTTCCAGACTGGGTGCAACTTGAAGCTATCATCTGTGTCATGTTCATCTAAGTTGTGGTTGCAAGAAACAGGTTTCTGCAACGATCTCCCACCAGGAGAAACGTCTTTTCCTATTATTAGCTCCTTCAAGAAGAGTAGGGGAAAGGGGCAGCAATGGGAGATGGGAAGAAATGGAGGAGTATGCTCTCTTCCAAGGACAGTAGCTCAAAATTTATTAACAGTAAGGGAGTGCTGTAGCTTTCAGCATTCCGGAGAAAAAGAATACCACAGCCATGCACATGTAGTTACCATTTATTCTGGCTCCACTTGGACATGCATGAATCAGAACACATAAGTGAGTTGCCACATACCATTCATCCAAACTATTGAATGGACTATTTTTCACTACAACAAATTTAATTTAAACTCTGAAGAGACAAAGCACTGGTTTTGAAATCGTATTTCTGTACTTCAGGAGACAGGTTGTGGGCTTCAGATTTACCCTGTTACATCCAAGAGTTAAAAAGGGCAAGGTCTAACTTTTGAATTTCCATTCAAAGAGTAAAGACTCAAAGAAGACTAGTATGGTATATCAAAGCAAGGTATTGTGTTCAACTGAGTAGTGGTTTGCCAATGTATTAAGGTACTTTCAAAAACACTGTGTGAAACTGTTAGTACTTGCTTCTCTCCCAGACTTAATCAAGTGTTTCTGCAGGATATTCTTTGAGACACCTGAAAGCATGGAAGAAATCTGCAGCGAGTTTCCTGCTCTTATCCAACTTGCTCCCAGCCCTGTACACAGGCCTGATTCACCAGAGAGGCACTCTGGATGTTATGAGTCACATACAGCAACTCTGCAATAACTCTTACCAGTCAGAAGCTTTTGTCTTCATCATGATGCCATGCCACTCTACTCCATTTTACAGGTATCACGAGTTAACTGTACTGTATTAAAATCTATATGTGATCAGAAATTAAGATTTCTTAACAGAGACAGATGTAGGAAGAGCTTTGATTTTTCACACAGTTAATACAGAATGGATAGGGGACATAAGCCAAATGCTTCTACCACAGGATAAAATTCAGCATCTGAGTTTCATTCCATTTTTGTAAAATAGCTTTGTGTGAGGATATGCAGTAAGTCTAATGACTTCTCCAGGTATGTCACACTGCTTCATTAGGGCAACTTTTGTAGCAAAACTAAAGACTAATTGTTACAATCAAACTGCATTAATTTTACCTTCTGCTGCTAGGCAGTCAAGAAATGTAATTACAACACAGTGACTGAGGTCACTATTCCAGACTGAGGTCTGCAGTAGACCCTAGCAAGTAAACAATGTTAAACCAGATACAAACAGTGAAGCTGATATGGAAAAGTACCTTTTTAAGAAACCAATGTTGTGCAGATGATATTTTTAAGATAAATCTGCTTTCTTGAACTGCTAACAACAGTCACAGCAGTTTGGAGCTGAATCTGCTTGTTCTACTTTACTTTCATATGAAATACTGAAGGGAAGAAAATATGACTCTGAGGGGAAAAAACAGTTACTCATTTTGGTTTTGACTGAGGTATATTTTAAAGTGATGAGTCATTTCAAATCTTAGATACTGATCAGTTTATCATGAAAGTGTGTTTTTGTTTTTCTCCCTAGTCACGTTCACTGTCCTCTAAAAATGAGATTCCTGGAGTGTCCCCCAGACCTAACTGGCAATGAGAGCTATATTGATGAAGCAGATGTGTTTTACTCTAATCCCCTTGGCTGGCTGAGTAAGGAGTTTTACAATGACACGTTATTACCCAGCCACTTGATCCTCTTCAATGTGCTAGAACAGGTATGGTGACTGCAAGATGAAACAAACTACTTTTGAGGATAAGTTACAAAATAAATTAAGGGAGAGTTATAGTTCAGATTTTTTAACATTGTTGTCCACAACTTTTTTAAACATAAATTAAAATTGAACCCTCTAGTCCAGAATACAGTATTGATATCATTCCAGTGATAGACACTTAACACTCATATGTGCCCTCTCCTTTGTGCAAATTCCACAAAGTCATGTTTTATGAAATTCTCCTCAATCCATGTTAAAACAAATGTGCCATCTGTTCCCAGAACTTGCATTTTCCAGTAAGCAACAATGAAAAGCAAAAATGCCTGCAAGTCAAAGTACCTTTTGCCCCCTCAGTTCTTTTATGAAGTCCATGTACTCAAACGACGGTGTCTGGTGAATATCCACTCCAGAGAGGATCAGACTGGATAGGCACTTCTTTGCTTACCTAAAATAAAGGATAAAGCTTCCAAGGGACAGTTGAATTGATAGTTTTCAGAACACTTTGGAACACTGTTCGTATGCTTCCAACTGCACCTTCTGACTGTGGAAAACTAATAGATGTTCATTTACAGGAAATATCATCATTTCTAGCTTTAAGAGGCTATGAGAAAACAGCCACTGTCTTTCACACTCATGTACCTCAAGGACGAGTTGGAAGCCACATCTACGTCTACAGGAGGAAAACTGAAATGAATCATACCTGAAGATCAGTTTCTAGACCTAAGGCCTAACGAGATCAGTTTTGCATAGCAGTAACTATGCTTAGAAGACTTCGTACTGCAGAAAGGAGGGAGCAGTGAGTCTGAAACCAGGAAAGCTGAATGGGGAGTGTGGTTGGTCAGCCACTGGCTGGCTGGAAACACAAAAACCTCTTCCTGAAGGCCACTTCAGTAGCAGTAGGGCAGGATGGGGTTGCTGACCTACCTTACAACACTAGAAAAGATTGGGAAGACCAAACTCGAATGAATGCTTAATATAAAAATAGACAAGACTGGACCAGTTTTATAGAACTGTACAGCTATGCTAAGTTTTATAAATAAAGACTTTTACCCACAATGTCTCTTTATTTTTTTTCTACAATATGCAGATATGCAAGACATTTCAAGTGTTTAAATCAGCAAGCTGATTAGAATGCAGCACAGCAAATTCTTCACAATTCACCAGGCTCTTGAACCCCCCCAAAGACAAGACGCAAATATAAGATTACGAAGCACTAACAAATACTTTACCACAATGTAGACCTATTTTTTGAAGGATGAGATGAAGTTAGTATATCAAACATTGGAGTTATTAGTTGGTACATTATGCATGGCTCAAGCTTGAACTACACTAATGGAATGCAATTAAGCATATTTTTCATACACAAGTCATTGCATGCCTAGTTTCTGCAACAATACTGCTGGTACCCAAACTATCATCACTTCCAAAGAACAGTTGAAGCAACAGTACAGAATATGTAAATCAGAAAGCTTGACTTCTGCCTGTTAACAAAAATGTGTAAAAATCAAATTATCCAGAAATAAAAACTTGCATCTTGCTGCTTTGTTGAAAAACAATTATAGTTTCCAGAAAGAATGCAAATTCCAATCTTACTGTTACAATAAATTACTCAGTATTTTGGATCGAAGGGTAATTGCCCCAATTCTATTTCAAGATTTGCCATGTGTCTTCCATTAGTGCGACCATGTTTATGCCATTTACCTTCTCTTTTATTACGCTGGTTGTACTTCTGAGCTTGTTTTTCATGTCTGGAATTTTCAGTTTGTGTAAAAGGTCTTTTAGGTCGACTGCAAGGAGTAAACAAAAGCTTATTACGACTCTGATGAAAGCATCTAAAAGCATTTTGAAACACATTTACATTGTCAAGAACAGCTTTTAACATGCTGAGGCTGTCTGAAAATAAAATTAGTATTAAGTAGTCCTTTCTCTGGCAAGCAAAATGGGGAGGCTTTTGTTTGTTTAAATCATCAGTAAGATGGTATATGTGAAAGAAATGCTTTCCTAAAAAGCCCAGTGCTCTGCAGCTGGTGGCCCAAAGTCTTTTAGAACAAAGCCAGGTAAACACCCATTTGATTATCCCACTGCGATGCCTGAGGAAAGCCTCAATCTGTTTTTCAGTTATTCTATTACCTCTATAAAAACAAAGAAAACTTTGCAGACCCTTAGGGAAAGGCTCTGGGTAAAGAGGTCACGTACAGTCAGTGCAGTTATACAGAGACAAAGCTGCTGCTCTCCTGTTGCAGGTTTTGATGCAAACAGTGCATTTTACTACAGGCTCTTACCATAGGACTGTTGTCTTTAGCCTTCTGCAAAGCTAAATTAGGGCCATTTTCATCCTTGGTATCACACAAACTTCTGTATAATACTATCAGTAAATTAATTGGAAATTGTTTTTCTGCAAACTCAAATTCTCAATTATTTAATTAAAAATTAAAGTTCATTTCAATAATAAATTAGGAAGATTTACTTGCACTATAAATAAAACCATAAAACATTAAAACTACACATTAAAAAGGCTACTGATAATAGGCCTATCATCCTCATGGTTCAAGTTTCAATAGGAGAAAGTACTACCTCACCTAATATTTAGTAACCCCAAATACTTAATAATTCCAGCTGCAATAAAATGCATGAAATAATAAACAACACAAGTGCAAAAGAGAAATCTGACCTAAGAACTGCACCTTGGGCTAAATAGTGAATATGCTTTGCACTGAATACCAGCACAGGAAAAGTTGTATTTGGGCTACAAGAACAACTTCTTGCGTATTATAAATTAGTTAATATCACATTTTTTCTTACCTGATCAGAATAAACATTAGCACAAGAGAATATATAGCAAATTTTGTAAGAGCAATGACATGTATATTTCATGTGGCTTTTAATAAGTGGTCCACAAAGAGCAAGTTCCACAGTGTGTTATGGCTGCTTGCTACTCTCTTTGCCAAAGTCTACGCAGTAGGAACAGCCCACCAGATCTAGCTCCACTGGGGCAGCCAGGCAGCACAGCACAAGTGCTCTGCAGAAACCCTGAGAAAACCTTCAGACACAGGGAAGTAGGAAGCAATTCATGCCAAGGACCTTTGTAAGCAAGTCTGAACAAAATTCAGACAGGTCAGGATCTGAGATCATGATCACATCGTCATGTGATGAGCTCTGCTCTGGGCATACAGACTAACTCAGTATTACACTAAGCTACAAAGGGAGAGTAGTGAAATTCCTGCATGGAATACACCTGTCAGAACAGGAATCAGACTGCTCCAATATATTCAGAAACCTCATTCAGGGAAGGACAACGAGGAAGTCCTAGTTAATGCTCCTTCCTTCATTGCATCAGAGAGGCTCCAATCAGATCTGTTCAGACTAAAGTAATCCTACAGGCAGTTACACAGTTTTCTAAAGAACTCAACAGAAACCTTAGATTGTGTTATGGACACACACAAAATTTATACCCAAGGTACAGCAGATCCACTTTATAGAACACAATCCAGTATTTCCAGTGAGTGCTTCAGAAAATCTTCTAGCAAGTACATACATATATACACAGGCACACACATACATATATACCTGCTAGAAGACCACCTAGCAGAAAACAAGGACACTAGTTGCCTTTTGAAAAACTACTTCACTGTGTTATCAAGTTCAGGAAATGTGGAAACAAACCTGGGTCCATACTGGGGTGAGTTATCATAATGGAAGTAGTATCTGTAGACATATTTGTCCAAATCCTCAAAAACCTTTTCATTAGTACTTTGGTATTCCTTCATATCTTCCAGGTAATCCTTGACATCATTAACAAAATCAGTGAACAGCATCTGGTCATGTATAAATAGCCCATCATGAAAAAACTTATTGATGAAATTTTCTAGTTCTCTCCAGTGATGAAAGTTATGTACAACTTGTTGCAAATACTTTTTCATAAGCCGATTAAATTCATCCACCCTGATAGGATCTGACTCTCTGTTAAACAGACTCAGGAATTCCTGATGAGCACATTCAAAAATACCAGAGCAGCCCTTTAGGACAAACTGATGTTTTCTACCACACAAATGATCATTGAGACATTTCTCTGAGTCCGTATCTTTTTCAAATGCTGTAAAATGATGTTTTCTTCCAGTTTTGAAGTCTTTGGGCATGTTAGGTCCCCTGTAATGTGTGTGCTTCGGGTTCTCGTAGGAGCTATGGTCTCGGTAAAAAGTTCGAGCTTTCTTGTTTGCCTCGTATCTTTTATCATTTGATGACTTCTCCTTTTCATCAAAGATATTTTTTGTGGTATCTTTGAAGTGTCTGAATGTAGACTTTACAGAATCAGAGAATTTTTTCAGGTTTTCTTTCACTGCTTCTTTAGCCTGCTTAATCTTTTCTTTATGGTGTCTTACAAACTCTTTTGTGGAATTTTTCATAGCATCAAAAGTTTCTTTAACTGAACCAAAAAATGATTCCTTGGATTTCTTTCTAGTCTTACTTTGCCCTTTAGCACCTTTCCTTTGTCCATTTTCATAAGTTTCTTGTTTTTCACTTTGGTCTTTTGCTTCAACGTAGAGCTTCTCCCATAAGTCTGAACGTTGTTGCTCAAAGTTCAGCTTTTTTTCTAGTTCTACTAGTCTTCCTCGCAGAGTTTCTATCTCTTGACTTTCTCGTAATGTATTATCATCAGCACTGTCAGGTGTTTGACGAGAACTTAACTGTTCAAGTTCTTTTTTTAGAGCTTCTGTAATGTGACGTTCTTTGTCCAGTTCTCGCCTTAACATCTGTGCCTCTGCAAAGAGTGTTTCCTTTTGCCTGAGAAAGTTGTTGTTTCTTTGCTTTTCCTCTTCCAAATGTTCCCTTAGTTTCTGATTTTCCATTACAATAGATTCAGTGCTAGTACCTTTATCTTCTAAGTTTCTAATTTGTTGTCTTAGCTTCCTTAATTCTTCCTGAAGTGAGGCCAAAGCTTTTTCTTCCTTCTCTAGAGATTCTCTTAAGTGCTGATTCTCTGCAGCAAGACTTTTTTTTTGAGAATCAAAGGATTTCTTCTCCACCTCAGTAAAGGTCAAACATGTGGCAAGATCTCCTTTAACAGACTAATAGAAACAAAAAGAAAACAAGCAAACTTACTACAGTGAGAACTGTTACAACTTTAGCTAGAAAGATGAAAAATCAAGGTAGCCCGAACAGAATTTACTTGTCATTTTGGATGCAGTGGCACATAGCACAGTAAGATGCAAAAATAGAGCTGGTTTGTTTATCTCAGATAGACACACAAACACTTTCTTGGCAACAAAGACCATGTGAGAGAGTTCCCTTCCAACCAAAGGTCATCACCCCTCACTGGTACTGGTATAACTAGCTGAAGGATAGTGAATAGTGTACACAAATTGTGACATCTTAAAAGGAAATCTAAATGTGTGTACTTGCTGTTGATTTATGTCCACCAAACCAGATTTACAAATTACAAAACCAAAAAAAGGAGCAAAGGCATTCAACTGCTGGGGCAGAAATTCAGCAACTGATTTTGAACCACATGCTGAAAATACGTGTTCATGTAACTATATTCTAACACAAAAGGATCTCTCCAGTCTGTTGGCTCTAGACTAGCTCCTTGATAAGCTCTAGAACATACTGAATTCTGTATAAATGCTAAGAGCCACAGGAAAGCAAGCTTTAAAAAAGACACATACACAAAGCACTCCCTAACCTTCTCTCTGAATGATGTAACAGTAGAAAATTAAAAGTAGAAATTAATACCCACTGATAACTTAGAAAGTAAATTCACTAAACCCGTAGGTTCCACCTATAATAGGTTTTTAGCACCATGTTCTATTTCAGCTGTCTTCATCAATGTCAG